ACTCCATACAGGAGATGGGTGTTTTGGAGATTGGTCTAAGACTGAAGAACAGTAAAAGGCAGCATCTGCCCCAGAGAAGTGAACCAGAGCATAATTCTTTGAGGTGGTGCGAAGTGAAGCCCAAGTGGCAGCTTTCTTGATTTCTGCAAGTGAAACATTCTTCAACAGAGCTATGGATGTAGACTGATCTGGTAGAATGGGCTGTAGCTCTGGGGGGGAGGGGGGTCTTGGAATTAGCAATCTCATAAAATAAAATGCAACCAGAAACCCATTTGGAGTCTTCGGGTTGAGACGGGGCTTGTAGTAACTTGAATTCTTTGAGATATGTTGTCCCTATGTATAGTGCACTTCAGGATTGTACATGTGTTCCATGCACCCAGGACCAGAGATTTTTCCCTAGCAGTGTCTGTCTGGTCCATGCATACACCCTTGCTCTCCTCATGCTTTGCACTGAGGGAATAAAGGGGGCTGCCAGATTGCCACCATTTTAGTTCCTTCTCTATTGGTAGGCACCCAGGAACCTAGGCAGTGGGGAAGGCGAGCGGGTAGTTCACTACTCATAGGAACTAAACATCTCAAAGAACTCAAGTTACTACAAAGTGAGTATCCCACTGTTCTTCAAGAACTTGTCCCTATGTCTAGTGCACTGCGGCTGATGCACAAGCAGTGTCTTTTTTGAGGAGGAAGGTGCCTGGAATCCTAGGCCACAACAGAATGCAGAACTGCCCTGCACAGATACACATCCAAAGTGGCTGCTTGCACCAGAGTATAGTGTCTTGTGAATGTGTGTACAGAGCTCCAAGTTGCTTCTCTGCATATGACAATAAGAGGGACATCTCTAAGGGAAATGATACTTGAGCTCTCGTTGAATATGCTCTCTCAATGCATCTCAGGATCCACTTTGACAGCCTCTGGTTTCTCCTTTCATTCAGTCCACATATGATAAAAAGAGCCTATGAGACTCACAAATTGACTATAACAGGGTTCAAAAAAGAATTAGATAAGTTCATGGAGGATAGGTCCATCAATGGCTATTAGCCAGGATGGGCAGGGATGGTGTCTCTAGCCTCTGTTTGCCGAGGCTGGGAGTGGGCGACGGGATGGTGATCGCTTGGTGATTGCCTGTTCTGTTCATTCTCTCTGGAGCACCTGCCATTGTCCACTGTTGGAAAACAGGATACTGGGCTAGATGGACCTTTGGTCTGACCCTGTATAGCCGTTCTTATGTTTAAAGTTTCCGAGCAATCTTGCTAATCAAACTGAGTGTAGATAAAATGCAGATACACTTTCAATGAACTGACAATCAAACAGGCAAAAAATGTAACACTGACAGAGCAAAGATCAGTTCAATAGCCAACTCCTAAATCTAGGCAATTTTCCACCAGAGGCTTATTGTAAAAGGGGAATATATAGGCTTTGTTGCAAGAATTGTGTAAGATACAAGCAGTCAAGTTAGAAGTTTTCTAAAACAGCATTTATTGCAGTATTGTTATGTATAGAAAATATATTGAGAGCAATTTTAAGAAGTGTCTAAAAAGATTGTTGTTTTCCTCTCCTTCCAAGGTTTATATAGTAGGACTCTTGACAGCCTGGCTTTACAATAGTTTCTTTTCAAAATTTTCTCTCTCAATGGGATCCTCGGATGCATAAACAGGGGAATCTTGATTAAGAGTAGAGAGATTATTTTGCTTCTATATCTGGCACTGGTTCAACTGCTGCTGGAATACTATGTCCAGTTCTGGTACCCACAATTTAAGAAGGCTATTGATAAATTGGAGAGGGTTCAGAGAAGATCCAAGAGAATGATTAAAGGATTAGAAAAATATGTCTCATAGTGATAGACTCGAAGCTCAAACTATTTAGTTTAACAAAGAGAAGGTAACATGGTGAGTTGATTTCAATGTATAAGTATCTACACAGGGAACAAATATTTAATAATGAGCTCTTCAATCTAGCAGAAAAAGGTATAACAGGATCCAATGGCTGGAAGTTAGAGCTAGACAAATTCAGACTGGAAATAAGGCATACATTTTTAACTGTGAGGGTAATTAACCATTGGGACAATTTACCAAGGGTCACGATGAATTCTCTGTCACTGGCAATTTTAAAATCAAGACTGGATGTTTTTCTAAAAGATCTGCTATAGGAATTATTTTGGGGAAGTTCTATGGCCTGTATTATACAGGTATACCCTTACCCTCACACTGTCCACCGACATTCTGATAATTTATCTGCATGCTGCAGGTGGACTTTCCCGGGTTCACCTTGAGACTGAGCCTTCTGACCAGGTCTAGAAGCATGGTGGTGGCTTCCTGTGTTTCCTGGTAAGATTGTCTCTTTAAAAGCCAATCGTCCAAGTAAAGATACATCACCACCGGTGTTGGTTAAAGTAACGGGGGAGGGATAGCTCAGTGGTTTGAGCATTGGCCTGCTAAACCCAGGGCTGTGAGTTCAAACCTTGAGGGGGCCATATAGGGATCTGGGGCAAAATCAGTACTTGGTCCTGCTAGTGAAGGCAGGGGGCTGGACTCGATGACCTTTCAAGGTCCCTTCCAGTTCTAGGAGATAGGATATCTCCATTATCTATCTAAACTTCCACACCTACAGTACCTCAATGAAAACTCTCAGTACTGCCAAGAGTCCAAGGGGAAGGACCTGATACTGGTAGTGTTGCTGGCTGGCCATGAACCTTAGGAATCTCCTGTGTGCTGGTTGAGTATTCACATGGAAGTAGACATCTCTAAGATCAAGGACCACGAACCAATTTCCTGGATTTAGAGAAGGCATAATATACAACAAGGTCACCGTTCTGAACTTCAGGTTGCAGATAAATGTGTTCAGTTCCCTGCAGTCCAAGATGGGTCCTGTCTTTTTAGGACAAGGAAGTACCTTGAATAAACCCCCTTCCCTTTCTTGCTGAAGGTGCTAGTTCTTCTGTTTTTGTTTTGAGGAGTGACTACCTCCTGCAGAAGAATAGGTTAGTCCACTTCAGGTGCGCATACGCCTCGAGCCCTTGATTGGAGATTTTCCATTAGCAGTGTCCATTCAGCCTGCGTGTGCATATTATGCACTCTTGTGCTGCACACTGAGGATATATAGAGCTGTACGGGAGAACCGCACTCAGTTCCTTCTCCATCCAAACATCCTACTGAGAACAGTCTGAAGTAGAGGAGAAGGGAATATAGTGGAGCACCCATAGGGACACACATCTCGAAGAACTGCAGTTACTGCATAAGTTGAGAAACCTCTTCTTCAAGTAGTGTCTCTATAGGTGCTCCACTTCGGGTGGCTCCTGAGCTGTATCCCTAGAAGGAGGAGGGAGCTTCGGAACTAAGTCCAGAACTGACAATAGTACCTCATTACTAAGTGCCACCTTGAATCTGGTGGCATGGATCAAGGCATAGTGCTTAGAAAATGTATGTAATGGAGCCCATGTAGCAGCCCTACAATATCTCAGATACTGGAATGTTTTTGAGTAATTATTCCTTCCTGTTTATTGATGTAAAATATGCAGGCCATATTGTCCATCGTGATCTAATTGATTTGCCCCATTGAGAGGTGAGAAATGAAAGCAAGCATTCCTGACTCCCCTAAGTTCCAAAAGGTAGATGTGGAGATTGGTTTCCTGAGGTGACCGTCTACCCTGAGTTGTGAGAGTACTGAGGTGAGCTCCCTATCTCAAGAGAGATGTATCCATTGTGAAGGTTGTTGTTGGAGGTGGGTGAATGAAAGGAATGCCAGCACAGACTTTGAATTGATTTTTCTACCAGTCTAGGGAGTTCTTCATGGGGAGGGAAAACATGACTTGCCTGCTCAGGAAATAGGTCATTCTGAGCCAGCTCTGGAAGCAGTGGACGCATAGTCTTGCATGATCAGTCACAAAGGTGCAGGCTGCCATATGACTCAGGAAATGTACACAGTTCCTTATGGAGGTTCATTGACTCCCCTGAATGGTCCTGACTAGATATGCTAATGTTATGAATCTGTCGGTGGGGAGGTAGACCCTGGCTGTCAATGAATCTAAGTATGCCCCTATGAATTGTATTTTCAGTACAGGGTGGTATGTTGGTACCAGGGAAAAAGACAGTATAGAGGACAACTGGGATACCGAAAGACCCTGTGTACCTATGAGCAGTGGGGAGTCGCGTTCATCTGTGACAAAGAGGTCTTTAGGAAAGCTAAATTTCTCCAGGACCAGAGGTCAACTGAATAGAGGGGGACTAGTTAGAGTCTAAGCCAAGAGGTGTCAGTACCAGTGCTAATCTTGTCTTTGTGGGCGTCTGACGATCTGACTGCACAGTAGTTTTCTGTGATGCAGAAGCCATGGATGGTGTGGAGGGTGCAGAGGTCAGTACTGAGACTTCTGAAATATCAGAGGCTATTGTATGGTTTCTTTGGTACTGGACACCCGGCATGGGTCAGTCGGTGGTTCCCATCAGTAGTGGGTACCAGGAGACTTAGAGCTACTGGAAGTCTTTTTTTAGATGGTACTGGGCACTCAATACTGAAGGAGCTTGGAGCCTCAACAACACTTCTTTTTTGGGCATCAATTCTCTGAAGTGATCTAGGTCTCTTGAAGCTGACAACTCTCAGAGGATAATTGGAAAACTCCTTCTTTGAAGCCTTAGAGGAGTCTCCTATGGTCTCTTCCCAAGAAGGCCTATCAGGAGAATAGGCTGTAATGGAAGTCAAGAGGGCACTTTGGTTACCAAAGACTGTTAAATGTGGGGATTGTGCAGGCCTGGGTCTGATGAGGATCACAGGGAGTACCCACTGATAAGGAGTCTAAGTTTCATCTACCTGTTCTTCCTAGACCTGCTCCCAAAACCAATACAGATTTGGCACCTAGAAAGGCAGTGGAGATAGCCAGCATGCCCATCATTAATGGGAAGTCTGTGTATGTCTCTTGCCTTTCACTAGAGGTACCCCTGAAAAGGTAAACTGTAAACCAGAAGGCTTCGTTGGGATTCTGGTGAATGTGCTAAAGCTGTTGGGGAGACCGCACTAGTTTCAGGACCTAGGCATTTCGACTGCAGAGGTCACCGCTGCCAAGAGGGGTCTCCTACTTGAGATCTGCTCCAGGAGTGTGTGGCCAGAGGCACAAAGCCAGGAACAGTGCCTAAGCTCAACCCTGTCCCAGCAATCAGAGGGCATGTGGGATTCAATATGTGGATTAGAAGTGGGCAAAAAGAGGAAGTGTGTGAGGGGCTCTCTTTCTGTTAAAACTTTCAAGGTTTTGAGAATATTTAATCCCCAAACTGGACAAAATGTCAAAACCACAAAAAATAATTGAAGAAAGGACTTTGAAGAAAAAATCCACTTTGAGACAACCAAAACATAACTTTTTAGCTTCCCAACTACCCTCAAGGAAGGTTTAAGTCAATTTCACAATAAATTGAGAAGAGGCCTCCAGCCCTGCTGCTGGAGAGGCAGAGAGCCCCTTCACTCTGTTTCCTTGCCAATCCCCTCAAGTTCCCAGAGCAAATAAGGTGCTGTCATGGTGCTCTGCCTGTCTGTCCCCTAGAGCCAGTTGGGAAAGTGGGGAGGCAGAGCTTCCGATTCAGAGCCTGTCTGTCCCCCTGGAGCTAAGGGAAAGGTGGGAAGGTAAAGCACAGCAGTGCTGTCCTTCCCCATCCCCTGGCATTGCGGGAAGATGGTGATTGATGAACATTTAGTTGAATCTGTACTAGATTTGATGAAACATTTTATTCTGCCTAATTGGCATTTTCTGACTAAACTCAGTTTTGGAAGAAAATTTCAAAGTGGCTCTAAGTTAGATTTCCTCACAGCAGTCTGGTGAGTGTCCAGCAGCCAGGAGCCCAACCAGATCTGTGACAGCACCCTAGGCTAATAATGGACCAGTTAGGAAGTGTAATAGAGGTGCTTTTGCAAGTGACCAGCCAAGTGTAACACTGGGGGAGCTGGGATTAGAAATAAGTAAAAGTGTCATAATCTTATATAGTGTAAATATGAATGGAATTTTACTTACCTGCTAAAGACCTGAGCAATTTCAGCTCTCTTATGCACAGCAAAGCTGAGAACCAGAAGAAGAAGAAGGATGCTTCCAATTGCTACTCCCATAATGATGACAATGTCACTATTGGAAACTTGGAAAGAAACAGACACGGAACATTACACTTTGTTTGCACTTAGGACTTACTCATACAACTGTAACAAACATTTCTGTATAAACAGAGGCTTGTCCCTCTATGAAGTGTGCATGCATCACACACACATACAGCTATCTCATATGTATACTAGCAAAGAGGGCCTCCAAATTTGTTTTGTCTGCACAAAATATGCCAGCATTGCTGTTTGTTTCTGCTGTGCATTCCCCCTAATCATGGATACCTATCTTATAGAACTGGAAAGGACCTTGAAAGGTCATTGAGTCCAGCCCCCTGCCTTCACTATCAGGACCAAGTACTGATTTTGCCCCAGATCCCTAAGTGGCCCTCTCAAGGATTGAACTCACAACCCTGGGTTTAACAGGCCAATGTTCAAACCACTGAGCTATACCTCCCTAGCAGCACGGGGGGCAAGCGGTGTGGTTGGCATATTGCACATGAATTATGATGCAATATATCTGACCGAAAAAAAAAGCGAATGCAGTTTCAGGTTGTGTATGCACAAGCATTTGATCATGGAGTAAAGAGAGAATACTTCTTTTCTATATGGGCCTAGAGTGACCACACCTAGAATTGAGTTCATTTTTCAGCACTACGGGAACAGAAAGATATTTACAAATTAGAGGGAGTGAAAAAAAATAATGAAACTATCAGGGATCTTGAGGGTTTGATTCACAAGGAAAAAGTAACAGAGATACTAGGTTGAGCAATGACTAAGGGGGAACATGGCAACAGTCTACAAATATGTAAGCATTCTCAAATGAGAATGCTCTGCCTCTGCCGACCCTAGTAATTCAACCAGAGCACCCCAGAAATGTTAGCTGCCGCTGTAAGAGAGGCAGTCTCTCAAAACCTGGATCCCAGGCTAGATAGAGCTTTAAATTTCATACCCAACATCCAGAACTGCAGCCACAAATGGATACCCAGTACAGATCATACATCATTACTGTTATATGCCAATAGCTACCTCACTCAGCTCAAGAGGAGAGCCACTGCCTTTTGCACCAACTACCTTCTGGGGGCAGATTCGGACCCACAGGAAGCATGGAAGGAGTATATAGGCCAGACAGGGTCCTTCCCCGTGACCATCCCATGGACAGAAAAACACTTCTCTAAGGCAGTGGCACTGACACACAAAGCACCACATGGGAAAAGAATTCTGGGTGATACATACACTACAGAGCAACAGCCTGAACTCATGTCTCTGGGTGCCTCCAGCTATCTCCATGATGTCAGCAGCACCAGTGTGTGCGTGTAACTGCATATTTGTGCAGGAGAGAGGGATTAAATGAAAGTGTGTTGAAGTTGCTGGAGGAGAGGCTAGGAATTGCTGTGTGGAGGGAGAAAGAACATTTATTCACCTTAAAGTAACGTTGTTAAATCAAGGGTAGTAATATACTGTGCCTCTCCCAGGTGGTCAAGGAGCTTGTCTACCTGCGGCATTGGGTACACGTCGAATTGGGAAATTACACTGACCCTCCGGAAGTCGATACAGAACTGCCAGGTCCCGTCCGGCTTGGGAACAAGCACAATAGGGCTCCACCACTTCTGGAAGATCGCTCAATGACCCCAAGTTCCAACATAGCTTGGACCTCCTGTTCCTCCACTTCCTACTTGTTGCAGCTGGGTTGTTCAATGGATGACCTCTCCGGGGTTGGTGAATAGCTATGAAAGTCCTAGGCAAAGCCTCAGTGAGACACCGGGCTTGCTTCAGCTGGTCCTCAGAGTGTATCCCCGAGCAGGGGTGTCTCAGGTTCTGTTTCCATGATGGCCTGCGGCCCCGGATTGGGTTCCAGGGGGTACAGGATGATCAATAGCCCTTCCCTTTCGCACCAGGGTTTCAGAAGATGAATGTGGTAAATCTGGTGCTTCTTTTTCTAGTTGGGCTGTTGGACCTCCTAGTTGACAGGGCCTGTATGGCAGATCACCTCATACGGATCCTGCCAGCGAGCTAGCAATTTTGACTCCTCGGAGGGGAGCTGTATGAGGACCTGATCTCCTGGTTCGAAGGTCTACACTTGTATGCCCCAATTATATCCTCTCACCTGGGCTCCTTGGATGACTCGGAGGTTCTCTTTTATGAGTTCTTGGAGCTGTATTACATATTGGAGTAAACCCTTGGTCTGGGACAGGGTCTGCTCCCATGTCTCCCTCATGAGATCCAGCAATCCCCGTGGCTGGCGGCTACATAGCAGCTCAAATGGAGAAAATTTAGTGGAGGCCTGCGGCACCTCCCAAACGGCGAGTAACGGAGAGGAAGAAGCTGGTCCCAAGCGGTGAAGTTCTTCCAGCGAACACTTCCAGAGCATGCTTTTTAATGTTGGGTTGAACGGCTCAATCAAACCATCTGTCTGCGGATGGTATATGGATGTCTGGAGTCTTTTGATCCCCAGGAGGCCACAAACCTCTCAGAAGAGTTGGGATGTAAAATTCGTGCTCTGGTCGGTCAGGATCTCACGGGGCAGGCCCCCTCCCCCCCCAGGTGAAGATCTTTAGGAGTTCTGCTGCAATGACCCGGGCTGTGGCACTCCTCAGTGGCATGGCCTCGGAGAAGCGAGTGGCATCTCCTCTATAACAAAGGTGTATCGGAAGCCCGCGGCACTCTTTGTGACGGGCCTCATCAAGCCTATGGCCACCCTCCTGGAGTGATGAGCGTGTATTAGGTATATAAGTAAAGCAAGGCTGAAACACAAGGCCTACAGCAGTGGAAGGCAACTTGCGGCCCATGGGCTGCATGCAGCCCCTCAGGCTAGTACGCTGGCAGGCCATGAGACAGTTTATTTACATTGACTGTCTGCAGCTCCCAGTGGCTACGGTTTGCCGTTCCCGGCCAATGGGAGCTGTGGGAAGCGGCAGCCAGCACGTCCCTGCAGCCCACCACTGGCCTATAGGCTGAGACCTGTAAGATTTTAGCTTAGACATACTAGCCAGGCTTAAGAATGCTTGACATGAGTGGGTGACCTAGGAATAAACCTATGCCAGCAAGGTCACAAGGTTATGGCATAAGATGTGCAAATAGGTGATGTTATGGAAAAATGCATTGCAATGTATTGTCCAAGACTGTGAGACACCTGATTGTAACATATTTGAAAGTCTCTCCTGACCACATCCCAATCGTGCACCCCAATATTCATGGGGGTGTGGAAGTACTGAAAAGGAAAAGAGGATTGACACCTTCATGCATATGAATAAGGTGTTAGGTGTGGTCAGAATTACAAAATAAAAGAGGGTTACCTGGTTGGGTAAAAGTGGAAAAACCAAGGTCTGGCTTCATGGGAAACCCCATCAGGAAACATCCTGTGACACTGCACCCCATATTATTCACAGTGATATGATTATGACATAATTATAATGCATTTTATGAAAGATAAGTCATGTGAGATGTCATTGAAAATGTTATGATTTGCTGAATATGATTATCCTATTTGTATACATATATCATTTTTGTATCTGATGTTGTGAATATTGACTATATATCTGTATTTCAAAATGCAGTTACCCCTGGGGAACGCCCACTAGACAGGAGGCTTTCATTCTACATAGCTGGGTGGGGAAGGGCCTATTCAGGGCAATGAGGTATTAGGAAACAACAATAGGCCTTAGAAGCAGCTTATCTCCCACCTGGGGAGCCTTCTTGAGAACGCTACAGACAGCCTACGAATAATAGCTGCTATGACTCAACAAAGACATGCAATGTGACCACATCTCTCTAGACTCCAACTTGGGATGACAGTGTTTTTCCACAGACCGGTCTGGGAACTAAGCTTTGAAACAAAGGGTTCCCGCCACATGCAAAAGCTATATAAGGCAGGGAGTGACATCATCTGGTGTTCTTCGCTCCTCACAAAAGATGACTCTGGGAAACACCTGAGGAACAAAGACTGAACTGAGGGGAAGTGCTGGACCCAGGCTAAAGGGATTTTTAGCCTGTGAATGGGGATTCCAAGCTGTATATATTCCAACAGTTATAACTCTAACTTTAAACGGTGTTCAGAGAAATTCCCACCACAAAAAGAAAGGCAGTATAATTATCAAGTTCAGGAAAAATTACAGCCCTACTGCACAGGTAGTAGCAGATCACCGTTCACTAGCTGAAATGGTTACAAGACCAAACCATGAAGGTGTTGAGCGAATGAAAGGATGACAACAGAAAATTTTGAATCCAGCCTAGCCTGAAAGTTGTTTTCCGCCTTCCATGAAGTTACGGAAAGAGAAGGGTGTAAAAACCCTCTCAAATAAGCAAACTCTCTCTGCTCCTTTCCTCAACTTTACAGCATTCACTATAGCCTCTCATCTCTGCTTAGCTTGTCTCTACAAGCAAGCCAGCTAAGGAGAAAACAGCCAAAGAGCAGCATCAAGAAGAAGCAACCTTTCAGTTCAGATGACAACATCGTCAGGATTTCAACATGTATGGTGAAATGAAGTTGTAAAGCCCTGTTACGGGATTAAATTTAATGTTTTTCTTGTAATGATTTTTTAATGGTACTGAAGTGCTATTAGACAGACAAGATGGGTGAGGTAATATCTTTATTGGACCAACTTCTGTGGGTGAAAGAGACAAGCTTTCGAGCTATGCAGAGCACATCTTCAGGTCTGGGAAAGGTAGTACTTGTAGTGTCACAGCTAAATACAAGGTGGAAGAGATTGTTTTGCATAAGTATTTAACACATATTCTAAGGGACCATTCAAGGTGAAGAAGCCCACTTGTCTCTTTTACCAACAGAAATTGGTCCAATAAAAGATACTACTTTACCACCTTCTCTCTCTAATATCTGGGGACCAACATGGCTACAACAACACTGCAAACATTGAAATGCTATTGTCATTTAAGATATAACAGCTTCTCCTGTTAAGCCAAATTATGTAGCCTATTGTGATGCTGTATGATTGAAATATGACCATCTATATCATTGATATTGCCAATGTTAGACAACTGCAACAAATCTTGTACAACCATGGCATGTAAGGTGTCAATGGAAAAGTTGTGATTTTCTAAGTATGATTATCCTGTTTATATGCATGTATCATTTTTGTATATGAAGTTATGAATATTGGCTATGCACTGGTATCTTACATATGTGCTGTATTCCTGAGTAACACACACCAGAAAAAGATGTACATCAAGGGGGTTAGACAGCTGTAAGTTGATGGCCCATTAAAGACACTTAGCTCTCACAATGGGCCATAGAAGAAACTCATTCCCTCCACATAGATCTTCTGGCAGATGACTCAGC